GAGCGCAGGGCGACAGACACATCTGGAGAGCAGGTAGACAGGCTCTGCCTTGCTCAGGGGCCTGTCTCAGTGACAGCAGCATGTCCAGGGTGGGGCAGGCATCCCAGACATAAATACTTCAGAACGAGAGAGCGTGGAAAACATGTAGCATGTCCGCAGGGCGGCCAGCAGGAAAGAGGCAGAGATTTGGGTTATGGCTATTGTTGTCATTAATATTTTCATGACTACCACTGACGGAGGGTCTTTTGCACAGGAGGCATCAGCCTCAGTGTTGGGTGACACAAGTTAATCTTCACAACTGCCCTATAACTTATAGGTAAGCACTATGACTACCCCCACTTTACGCAGACCCTCGGGTAGCTTGTCTGCAAGGGCACCCAGCTCAGGAGGGCTTGACGATGATTTGAAGCCAGGTCTTTTCACTTTGAAGGTCATGGTGGGTCCTAGGAATGGTGCTAGTCACTGGCATTCGCTACCCCCATCCCCTGGCAGCGGGAAGGACGGAGCAGACTGAGCGCATGTAATCAAAGCAGTGCACAGTAGTCTTAGAAGGAAGACACCGTACTCAGGTCAGAGACTCAGGCACTAAGGCTGCGGGCCGTGTGAATTGCCCCAGGCCATGCAGAATTTGAACCAGATATGCTTGTCTTTGATGCCCAAGTTCTTTCCACTCAAGTTTGCTACCCTGCCCTGCATGTTTCTGCAAAAAGGGGTACCAGGGATGGCTGGAGGGAGGCAGGAGAACAGAATGCAGCTCAGCTGGGCAGCAGATTCACACTGTTCCAGACCACTGAGCTCGCCAGCCAGAGGCCTCCCATAGACCTGCAAATCTCGGCCTCTCAGAACAGTGAGCCCTGGGCTCTCACAGCCTGTTAAACAGAGGAGGGAGGTTTCAAGGTTGGCACAGACGCTGCCGAACCATCATTCTAGGGGCATGATCAACCCAGAGCTCCCCTGGAGTGAGAATGACTAAGGGCTGGTGGAAGCTGAGGGAATGAGAAATGAGGGAAGGTCCAGGATGGGGAAACCGGAGCCCAGAAACTTAAGTGACCCACCCAAAGTCACTTGGCTCGGTGTGGGATCCCAGGGCTGCTGCCAGACACGCAGGCATCTGGCTCAACCTCATGCTGCCACTCCTTGCTGTGTGACTTCAGGCAGTGTCTCCACCTCTCTGAGCCTCTGGTCTCAAGGGGGAAAATAGAAAAGCCAATGTAATGATCTGAAGGATTAGGGAACTGAATGTGTAAATCAATCATGAAGATTACTAGAAGACAACCCAATATACCAAAAAAATGGAGCAAAAGATAAAGTGGGCAATTCGCAGAAAACTCAAATGGCCAATAAAGGTATGAAAAGCAAACAGCACCATGAGATACTATTCTGCACCCCACGGATTGGCAAAAACTAAAAAGTCTGACAATCTGGAGTGCTAGCAAGAACACCGAACAAAGGGACCCACAGACGCTGCTCCCACAGACACAGATGTCAATGGAAATGTGAAAACGCGCAAACCCCAGGACTTGGCAATCTCACTTATCGTATATGTGTAAGGAAGCAGCTCCATGAAAGCAAACTGCTGAGAACACCTGAGAAGTTCCCGATAGGAGTTCAAATAAATAGGGATAAATTCATAAGTGGAGTATTAAAAACATCAGTTCAATTGAACTGGAGTCATAGTATCGGCATAGATCTCAAAAGTGTAATGCTTTTATATAGTTTTAAAACATTCACTACAAGATTTGGGGGAGTGTTAAAAAGGTAAAAACATTAAAAGGTGCATGGGGCTGGCGGGGAGAGGGGCCTGATCGAAAACAGGCACAAGGGATCTCTATTGGGGCGTGATGGAAATGTTATAAACTGGACTGTAGTGGCGGCTGCATAGCTCTATAAATTTACTTTAAAAAGCAGCAAACTACACTTACAATGGGAGAATTTTACAGTATGGAAATTATACCTCAGTAAAGCTGTTAAAGAAAAAAAATCCTATCTAATAGATATAATCGTCTATTTTTTTTAAGTGTATGAGAATGATAAACATCAAAGGCAGGATACTGGTTTTCTTGGGGAGAGGTGGGGGGTGTTAGGGAGGGTACTTAGGGGGCTTTGCACCTGCAGTGTTTTGTTACTTAAAAAATAAAAATGATCTGACACAAATAAGGCAAAATGTAAAGATCTGACAGCTGGATGATGGATAGGTATTTATTTTATTCTATGTATCCATATATTTGACAGTGTTTCAATATAATTTTTAAAAGTATCTATTTTAAAGGGCTATTGGGACGACAAAATACACAGAGAGCTTAATCCAGTGCCTGTCCCACAGGGACTGATCAGATTTCAGCTTTCATGAATATGGCTGCTCCCTCTTAACATCTCAAGATCTCAAGACAGAGCAAGCCAGCTTCCTGGCCCCTGATGACGAAGCCTCTTCTAAACCAGCTTCTTCTGTACATTCCACTCTAGTGCAAGAAATGTGGTGACCCACATAAAACCCACGAAATCTACAAGGGGCACTTCTTCCTCCCCTTAAGCCAAAAGATAATAACCCAACCGGGGGTGGGGGGGGGGGTCCTCCCAAGGTGTCATACTTGAAAGTCCCCCTCCATTCATTCAGAGAAAAGCCTGGCTCTGGGACAGGAAAGGTGCTGGCAGAGAGAAGCAGCGGCCCCCAAAGTTCACCTCCTTGCCTCCAACAGAGGGCGGCGGCTCCAGAGGAATCTTCTTCAAATAATAATATCACCGATATTGCAATCAACAATAATCCTTCCAAACCACTGAATTTCAGAGGCCCTGGGAGCTTGTGCCTCTGTATTCTTCAGACCTGGCCTGCAGCTCTACCCACAGGTGAATGAGGCTGGGGGCAGGGCATGGAGAAGATGCCACCCTGATGATGGAGAAGATGCCATCTCAGGTGGAACAGGTGGCCCAGCCCTGATGGGCAGCCCCAAGCTCCAGGTGCATTTCTCCAAAGTTATTTACAGCACCTGTGACCTGTTCCCTCCAAGGCAAGTTAGTGATGAGCAGGAGGTGGCTGAGCTAGCTGCAAATTTGGAGAAGCCTAGAGGAGAATTAGAGGTCTTGGTAACTGGAACTCTCTGTAATTGATTCATATATCCTAATGCAGTGGTTGAAGGTAGGAATGTGTATGATTTTGCCCCTACCCTCTACCCTGGGGACACATCTGGAGACATTTTTGGTTTTAACAGCTGGAGAGAGGGATGCTACTGGCATCAAGTGAGTAGATGCGAGAGATGCTGCTAAACATTCTACAAAGCACAAGACAGCTCCCACGACAAAGAATGATCTGGCCCAAAATGTCAGTAGTGTTGAGGACGAGAAATTCTGCCTGAGAGGCAAGTAGCAGTGTTTACAATGTGTAGACTATAGAAGCTGGAGCCAAGAAAGGTAAATCGACTAGCCCAAAGTCACACAGCAGGAAGTGGCAGAGCCCAGGACTGTCCACCTCCTCTGCTCACGGTCACTCTTCAGGATGGCTGGGCCAGGTTCAGAAAAGAGAATACCAAATAGAATGAAAGTCCAGACTGATGCCAACAGCTGATTCCATGCTCATTCCTTCCAGTGTAGTGGGAAGGGTATGGCTTGAGAACGGGAGTGGGGGTTGCTGGCAGTTTCTGGTGGGTTCAGATCACCTGCCATCACAGCACTAAATCTGCTCTGTTCCTGTGGATGACTCAGACTTCAGTTCAACCCATTGCCCCTCTTCATCTGAGGAACCCAAAGGGCTGACTAGAAAGAAGCGGCGGGGGGAGGGGGAGCACTGAATCACAAGAGTAACTAAACCCACACGTGGAAAAACAAGTTCTTGGTGAAATCCCTCCCCATGTGACTACAGCACATTCCAAATCAAAGAAACATGGACACCAGGGGCAGGGAGGCAGGCATCTAACGGTTATGAAAAGCCAATACTGCCAGTCACTCGGTCCCTCCCTGAAGGAAGTGGGCGCCCTTACCTCCAGCTGACGGATGAGGAAACCAAGGCTCACAGAGGCCACTCAGCTGCTAAGTTGTGAGGCCAAGATCTGAACCCAAATCCATATTTGAACATTTAGAGATTTCTCTCAAGGGGCCCCAAAAGGTGGTTGAAAGCTTAGAAAAAAGCCCCTCGAAGCTGTACAACCTTCAAAAAACAAACAAACAAACAAACAAAAAAACCAGTGGTTGAAAGCTTAGAAAAAAGCCCCTCGAAACTGTAGAACCTTCAAAAAAAAAAAAAAACTTACAGGGAAAGACCCCACTAAACAGAGAATAAAAAGCCTCAGGGTAGTGACAAATGACAGCAGGCTACCTGGTTTTTCAGGAGACTTTGCTTAGGGAAACTCTGAGGGTATGGGATCTGGGAAGTGATGTGGTCTGGTGGAACACCACTTTTGGGGTCCAACAGACTTGAACTTTCAGCCCTGCTCTGCTCCTGTCTGTGACCCCAGGCACTGGACCTCATCTTTCTGAGCCTTAGTTTTCTTGTCTGTCAAGTGGGCTCAAGAACCTCTGCCTGAGAGGACTCTGATAGCAGAGAACGGGCGAGAGGGACCGGAGGAAGGTGCCAGTTCTTGGTGGCTGTATCTATCCTGGTTTTGCCAGCTCACAGATCTGGTGGGAGGCAGCATGGAGCCTTTCAGACTTCCTCCTGTTGCCATGTCTGTGAAACTGCCTCATACCAAAGAGGCAACTCAGTTACACACTCAACAGGCTCAAACAAGAAACCAAGATTTGGCAGCATTTGAAACAGTTCACACACACACACACACACACACACACACACACGGAAGAAAAGAAGATAATTTAGCTCAGTTCTGGAATCAAGGAAAACTTCACTCTATTTAAAGATGCCACAGGTCTGGGAAATAGTTTCCCACCGCCTGGCTAAGGGCTGAATAACCAGCTGCCCAGCCAATAACAATAGACGCACACAGCACACCCCTTCTGATCGAGTGCAGAGTGGACTCCGGCCATCTCCTTTCAGAATTTTACAGGCTACTTACAGAGGGCATGGAGATCTGATTTATAAGAATGAGCCTCTTAAGGAAATAGATCCAAAGACGCCTTGCAGGGAGGCCAAGGAGCTGAATTTCGCCAGCCAACGCCCTCTGCTATTCATTGTTCTACACTTCTTTGTTAGAATTTTTTCCCTCCCTCTTGCTGTTTTTTTCCTTCCTAGTGAACTTCTCTGCAGCTAGGCGCTGCTACTGCCCCCTTCTCACCACCAGAGACACCATAGCCCCCCTTCCCTCCAATAGGGAGGCTTTGCCAAGGCCTCACCTGGGCCCAACATCCGACGGCCCCATTATCCCTCCACCCAAAACCCCTCAGTTGGTCCCAGGGCCCTCTGAACCGCCAGATTCAGTTCCCAGGCTGCTGTGGAAGCCATCTCCCACCTGCGGGTCAGGTACACCTCCAGAGTCAGGGGAGGCCTGACCGCAGCTCCACCTTCTGGAAACGTGCAGCCTTAATTATTGAGCCTCAGCCTTCCCATCTGCAAAATGAAGCCACTGGCCCGTTTTCTCAAGTCCTTGCCAGCTTGAAAACAAGATTCCCATTTCACAGAGGGAGATACCGGGATAAAACTCCAGGACGTTTTAAAACAGAAGTTATGGGAGAGAGGAGCAGGAGCTGTTTTTTTTTTTTTTTTTTTTTAACCTTTTCAAGGGGCTGGCACGCAAAGGATCCATTCTCATACAGCTCCATCGCTCAGGCTAGCCCCTCCAAAAGAACGGGGCCGAACTTGGCGGGGCTACCTGTGGCTGGTCACCGCGGGCCCGAGTGCCTCTGGACCAGGAGGGTAGGCTCGGCGGCCTGAGAACTAGCCCTTCTGTCTGTCTGTGTCTGTCTGTCTGTCTGTCTCTGTTCCCTATGCCGGCTGGGGCCAGACTTTTCCACGGGTCGGGGAAGACGGGAGCGGGGGGTGGGGACCAGGAGAGGACAGAAAGGATTCGAGAAGCGGCAGAGAGGCGAATGGGGGGCGAGGAGGTGGGACGGGAAGGAGGAGGACGGGGCA